CCCGTGGTGCCGACGCTGCGTTTAGGGATGTTCTGTAGCGATTTGTGAATCTTTTGAGTCGGATCTTTTCAATTAATAAATTCACTAAGCCGATTCGACTCGCAGTGCAACCGACACTTTGAACATGAATATGTTCGAATATAATGAGCCAAGAATCGATGAGTGACTGAGCTGATAACAATATAATTAAATGCATATTTTATTGATGTTCTAAATTACTTAATGTTTTATGAGCTGACTCATGGCTACAAAAAAGAACTAAACTTATGATACGGAATAAAAGCATCGGCTTTTAAAACGGTTCTTTAAAATAAACTGTTTTAAATGAACCGATTCGCGGATCTACGACCATTACTGTCAAATGCTGCGTCTCAATGTGCCTACTTATACTACGCCCTTAAAATATGTACTCTTTTGGTGAAGAAAAAGTACACACTTTTGAGTGTGTAGTAGAAGAGTAGGCATTTCATTTAACTTCCTACCGTACTGGAGAGAAAAAAAGTAGCACATTGATCTGCCAGTCGCGGAGACCTCTGCTCATATTTTCTGCATATTGATGCATTTAAAAGTTCACGACCAAATGGATGTTTATAAAAGTTAACATTACTGTTGTAGATTAAATATAACACGGATAACAATAAATAAATATTTTTTACCAGGTTAAATGTTGATTATTAGGCGATACCGATACCTCTAAACTAAACTGATCTTTTAAATTATTAAACGAATATAATCAGTAATTATACTCACTTAATATTAGATTTTAAAGCCATGTTTTTTAACATTTCATAGCAGTTTCTAGGTTAAATTGATTGCCTAGAAAGCTCGCAAAGAGTGCTCATAACCCCTAAAAAGCTGTCACTCTTTGTTCATCGCGATCTCACAAAGTTCTGTTACCAATGAATCTCACACTGCGCAATTAATATATTATTAACATCGTGTATAGCACTCTGAGCCATGCGTCAGCAGCGAACGCTGTCTGTGATCGATTGGTTCTGTCTTTCAGTATTTGCGAGATTTCTTGATAAATAAATACAATTAATGGTTAAAAATGCACTTTATAATCGATATTTTTATGTGAGGATCGATCCTTTCAATACAACATCAGTATCGATACTTAAGGATCGATCCGCCCATTCCTAGCCAAAGCGCAATGGATTGTGGGCAATTTTAGCCATTAGAGTGTGCACGGATCCACACTTCAAAAATCGACCTGAAATAGTAGACCATCCGGGGACTTTTGGCATACTCTTTTCAACATACTATGCATTGGGACACACTTATTCTAATCTCACATACTAGGATGGATAATATGAACATTGAGACGCAGGGCCAGTTTAGGCTGAAGCGAATATTTGAGTCGGATCTTTCGGAGAACAAAAAGTTCTCCGGTGTACCGACGAAACATGCTACCTATCAGATTGTGCTACCAAAAATATATTTACATTGTTTTAAGGGTAAGTTTAGGGTAAGGGTAGGTGTGGACGGGTAGGGGTAGGTATGGACATTAAAAAAGCCTCAAACCTCATCAATAAGATGCTGGTAGCACAATCTGATAGGTAGCATTTTTCGCTATCGATTTGTGCTACCCATCTTTTTAATGGGAGGTAGCACAATCTGAGCGGGTAGCACACATCGTCAGAACACCGGCTCACAAAAACGATTCGATTCGCAGTGGAACCGACACTTTGAACCGAGAACAGTCGATTTCAAAAATTGGTAATAAGTCAAGACACGTTAAGTGAGCTGACAGTAACAGTACGTAGGCCTGTACTAAAACATGGGAAAAAACATGACAAAGAATCTTTGTCAATACATTTTAATATTTTTTAATGTGAACGCATATTATATTTATGTTTAATGACTTTCATGTTATATAAATGACTATGTTTTTATAAGCTAAATCATGGCTACAACAAACTGAACGGATGTTATTGCGTAAAAGAATTTCTGAATCGTTTCTTTTATTTTATTTTTTAAACGGTTATTTGAAACGAATTGTTCTAATGAACCGATTCTCGAAATTGAGTCAGACTTCTCACCACTGTCAAAAACTAATGAACTGCCTACCTGTTCAGCATTTCTGGAAGTCACACGAGTAGTTTTAACGTTTGAACGAGTAATTTACCCACAACCTCTAAATGACTTGAATAATGATGAAACAAAACCTTGCAACTTAGGAAACTGCTGTGATTCGTGCTGTGGGGTCGGCGGGTTCGGCTCATTTGCTTCGCAACAGAGGCGGGGCTCTGATGCCCTTATGTGTCCGTGCGCGCATGTCAATAAAGTTTTTTCAAATAGTTCAGTTAGCTTATTGGAGAATGGGTAGCATCACTGATGGTAAGGATTTGTTTGTGTATATTTAGGACGTGTTTGCTAGTTATGTGGCAAATCAGCGTGATTTATTACAAAGGTGCCCAACTATGTGTTATTGTAAACTAAAGAAACTCACTTAAAAGGAGGAATCATAGCTAGTTAGCCATGTGATATGCTAAAACTGATGCACTAAAACAGGGCTGTCCAAACTCAGAGTTTAGCTCCAACCCCAATTCACACCTGAATCAGCTAATCAAGCTCTTACTAGGCATAGAAACTTCCAGTCAGGTGTTTTGAGGCAAGTTGGAGCTAAACTCTGCAGGACACCGGCCCTCCAGGACCGAGTTTGGACAGCCCTGCACTAAAACACCCATAAAATGTTGAATATAAATCTTATTTCATTTACTTCGATCACATGTCACTAAAATGCGTAAGAGTTTCGAAGGGCTTTAGGAATATACAAACGTGTAACGTTTTTATAAAAAGATATGCGTATAATTATGTCGTATGTGTGTGTATATATATATATATATATATAATTTATTTTTCTGTAGTGTGTCAGTAGGAAATATCAGTTTACATTTCTAAACATTCCTTTGCCATTCATTGTAATAATCCA